CCATAAAAAGTCACTTCTTTTTTTCCAACCATGCAGACTGTGGTTCGACATGCAAAACACAGTCTGAGGTCATGAAATGTAATGCACTTATAGACTATAAACCATCCAGGAGCATGTGCAGTAATTAGACCACCTACAGCATTGAATGGCTTTTTAATGATGTGGGCACATATAGGAAATGTAGGTTTTCTCTCTTTAAACACACAGCGCTTTGTATCACCGTTGCCAGAGGGTGGAACACTGCAAATAGAGCCATTCTTCACAGTGAAGCATTGATATGTAAACACATTTTTACAGCAAAAAAGTTTCGTTTTTATATAAAATTGATAGATTTTTCTACAGTGGAACTGGTAAAGAAAAACTCAACGACGATGAAATACTGCTGCTGGACTACACTAACACAATATAACTGTTTAATCCCAAATGTGCTCATCTTTCAGCTTGTCAGAAAGTGCACATAATTTCATAACAGAATGCACTTTCTGCATTTATAATATACAGCAAAGCATATCACCATCTAATGTTTGCTGATGAAAACATCGTCTCCAGTTTGGTTTTAACCAGCAGCAGGGATTTCTTTCAAAACTTCAGCTGCATAATAACTCTGTGAAGATAATAAACACAATTTGAGTAATACAATAGAAGAGAGGAGGCGCAAAAGGAGCAGAGAAATTGCAGGAAATGAGCGAAACCGGCATTTGAATGAGATGTCAGAACGATTTAATTCCTCATAAACGTTGTGGCGAACTAATTACAGCTCACAGTAGCTGTATATGTGTTGTTAATGGAGTCAAACTCAATATAATCAATCAGAAAGAAGTGTGCAGCTGTCAGCATTTCTAAAGCACGTGATCGGAGAGAGTTCTCTGGATTTCATGTCTGATTTTATGCCATTGATGTTTTTAAATGGAGTTTTATTTCTCTATAACGCACGGCATAGAATGACTTCACTCTCTGTGTTCTATTTTATTTGGATTGATTTATTTTCGTCCGTTTTGTCACTCAGCTCTGGTCACTGACTCACGCTTTGACCACTCACATTTGCACATAGAAGTGTTCAGAAGTGGTTGCATAAAACGGAGGCCTGCACACAGCTCCTCGTAACGCAGCAGAATTACATCCAGTTAAAATAATGTCGTAAAAACTTTGGACTCCATTAGCAGACCTCTCTGCCGGCAGACGGACCGGCGAACACACGTCACAAAAGACGACCACAGAGACTTTTATGTGTCTATTCGGTTTGTTACACAGGAGGGCAAAAATAGTTTTGCATGGCTGTTTTATTTTTCAAAAATATTTTGATGGGGGTAAGACCTCAAGAACAACAAAACATTTCCCTCAAACACAGTCTGGTCTTAATGCTCGTATTTTTTCCTTGAATAAACACAAATGCATCTGCATACATACAATTCAAAAAGTACATGTACATATCTTGTTTTGAACGGGTACATAATGATACACAGTTGCCCTTTTGAAATGTGACGGTACACATCCATGGTTTGATCTTCAATACAGATTTCAAAGTTGTGCTATTGATTTTCTGCCAGTGTTTCTCTTTTTTTTTCTTCTTCTTCTTCTCAAACTAGCAGATTTTACAGGAAGAAATTATATTCTCCTCTTGAAGAGCAAGCAATGACACTGAAGAGTTCATTCATAAAGAGGGACGGGAAAAAAAGCACCAGAGGAACTGAAAATCGTCTTCAGCCAAATGTCACCTCTTTATCATTTTCATGTGAGGGAGAGCCAGTGTTCTGTGCTTTCTTTGTGCCGAGCTGTGTGAAGGCTCTCCATCCCTCTCTCCCTCCCTCCCTCTCTATCTCTGCTCTGAGTCCCTGGGTGAAAGTGTCTCTGGAACAGGGCTCGTCACTGTTTCAGGATGAGACAGGTGTCTGTTAGATGTGTCACACACAGCCGTTCTCCTGTCTGGGCTTGTGCACCACGGGGGTCTGTGGAGGGTACAGGGAGGGAGCCAGCGTGCACAGGAAACCAGCCAGCAGCGTGAGGCCCAGTCCGCCCCACGCACAGAACATGGACCAGCCGTAGCCGTGGCTGATGTCCTCCGGTATCCCGAACATGTAGCGAGGATAGCGAGACAGTTCAAAGTTGATCCCGGCCACACATGTGCAAAGGGAGATTATGCAGCATGTCCCTGCCAGAGAGCCAGAACAGAGCCAGTGAGGCACACAGCAAAAAAAAAAAAAAGCATTTCCATCCCCCTTGTGATGCATCATTACAGCAATTCTGATTAACGCGGACCACACTGCCCCCCTGTGGCCAGCCAGGGTAGTGCTCTTTTACGTAAAGTGCATCTTACCTCCCATGAGGAAGAGAAGTCCGGCGACATACTGCATCAGATCATGCTCCTGACAGCAGCCCAGCACCCCAATGATCCATCCGAACAGGATGATGGATATGGCCATGCCTATGAAGCTGGCAGTCATCCTCTGCAGGTCTGTAAAAAAAAAAAAAAAACCACACACACAAGGAGACAGTGTTAGTTGGGGCCCTGCCTGGTTTCTCTGCATTAATTCATGAGATGGACGAGAGAAAATAAATAAATAAATAAACAAATCTGGCAACTCACGGAGTGCGTGCCACTCATCCTGCCTTATTGTCTTGGTCAGATTGATTGGCAGGTTTCTGGGGAGCGCTGATGATGAGTAGTAGTATTTTATTGGTGTGCAGCGCGGAACCAATCCTGTGGATGTAAACAACACAAAAGAGGATGTCTCACGTTAGCTCTGAGATTAGATGGAGAGGATATCACAAGGCTCTCTGCTGCCACCCCCTCCCAAAAAAACAAAAAGGCACCCAATCCCCCCCTCCCTCCCCTCCACCCTCCTTCATTTCCTCTCCACCACCACCCACCCATCCACCCACACCATTGTGGAGTAGCTTATTGTACGCATCTCCAGGCTTCTGTTACTACAGCTCGCCCTTTAGTGCTGGCAGAGAGAGAAGAAAAAAAAACAAAAAGCACACAGCATTGCATTGTAACTGTACTCCGTGTTATACTGCGTAGGCCTTCAGGGTCTGTGCGCAGCATCAGCACCTTGGGTAGCGCATTCGTGCACAAAGTATTTACTGACAGCGCCTCACACACACACACACACACACACACAGAGAGAGAGAAACCCACAACAAATACATTATAACACATGAGCAAACCTTTAAAGATTAAATCCTCCGTCTCCAAGTCAAATCCCTCCCGGTGGCACTTTCTCCACAGTCCGGTGATGGTGGAGTTGTACTGCCGACTGCAGAGGGACTCCATGGCCGGGGCAGGATCCAAGAAGTGCCGCTTAGCCCGCAGCAGCATCCCGCCGCCGCCGCCGCCGACGCCGGAGCTCGTCCTCTCCACGGTCTTTTCTTTGGGCAGCATGCGGAGCGGCAGGTTGTTGTTGGAGATGTAGATGTAGCCGGGGTCGTTTCTTTTGTTTGAGTAATTCTTGCAGCGCTGCCGGTGCCTCCTCGCGTCGGTCTCGTACCAGTTGTCAGTGCTGATCGCCACCGCTATCAGTCCCAACGCGCAAAACGCCAAAAACAGACCCGCCACGGTTAAAGTCCTCATAGCAGCCATGTTCCATGCGTCTCTCGGCTCGGTGCCGTGATGTTTCCACGGGACAGCAGGACTCCGCTCCTGGCTGCTGCTGCTGCTGGTGGTGCTGATGCTGCTGATGCTTCTGCTGCTGTCAGTGTCTGAGGTGTGGAGCAAATTCAGTAATACAGAGCAATCTGAAATGCGGATAAATCACCGAAGCCCCCATTTCTTTAATTTGTCAGCCATCTCCGATTAGAGCCAAATTCTTCTAGTGGGGTGGAGGGGGGGAGGATCAATAAATTCGGGGCCTCGATGAGCTATTTTGGTTGTCTCCTCTAATGCCTCTGAACTCAGTCTAGCCTAGATACTGGACAATCCAACATTTCTGTCCAGTAGATGGAGACAGAGCAAATATTTGGAAGCACAACAAGCCCCAGAGCTGCACGTCCTGCACTGAAGGAAAACACTGCCACAGTCTGCACAAGTCAGACAAGAGGAATACCCTGCCTTTGTCTTTTTTCATCCACTACCTCGTGTATCATTTCATCTGCTGTTGTCTAAAGTGAGGACTTAAGAAACACCACATTGAGCTCCACAAAGGGCCTCAGTTTTTTCTCTCAGTTGCATCACATCCAACAGATTGCTTCTGGTAAATTTCCATCCCAGCAAACACATCAGAAATATTGCAGAACACTGTTTGGGTCATTGTATTGTTTTGAGGGGAAGTAATAAAAACTTATACGCATAACAAAATGTAACGACATTTGTCCCACAGTGTATGTTTGTGTCTGGACTTCTTGCACAATTTTGCACAAACAAGCAACAAACAAGCCACAGTGACTCTGTCCACGTCGGTCGTGTTTTCACTGGTTTCATTCTCATAATCATAACTTCCTCTATTATAAACCATGATCCCAAAGTAAAAGAGGAACAAACCCCAGTTCCAAACTTCACTTTTGGTTTCTGCTCCTGTGTGCAGCAACTCTAAAATTTCCTACATGAAGTTGTTGTGATTTAAAAAAAAATGTGAATCAGATTTTTCCTCCACAGTTTTCAACCAAATTAAACAAATTACCGGTGTTATTATATTTGGATTTTGTTCTGTGATAGGAAGGAGTGAAGGATCAGAGTTAATGTCACTGTAATCACATCACAGCATCACTCGGGCTGATGAGAGTCGAAGCACACGAGGGGCTCGGTGCTTTGTGTGTGTGATGACCGTCCACTCTCGGGGCAACTGCTTTAACATCCTGCACAAATATCCGTAGATGTTTTACACGTGGCTCAAATGAACACAAAAACATATTTTCATGTACGATTTAGAGAATCCTCCCAAACATGCAGGAAACAAGTGTGAATATGACACTCGGCCATCAGGAACTAGCTGATTGCTTGAATTTGACATGTGGATGATGTGAACGTCGACTGCATATAGTCCAGCTTGTTTCTCACTTTCAGTTCCCATTTGCGTGTCGAAGCCGGTGCTGGGCGACGTTGCGTGTTTTTCAGTGAAGAAATAGGAAAAAGTTGACTTTTGTCACAAGCTTCAAGAACCACGAAGCTCATGCTGCCTTGTTTACATGATGGACGGCTTCGTCATATCGTCTGTAAGTTATTCTTTTTGGTTTTTACATCGCAGAACGAGTCTTTGACTATAGTTTGTTAGACAGATTAGAACATTTAACTGTTCATTCTGTGTGTTTCTATAAGTTATATCTACATTTAAATGCTGTTATCTTGAACACGGTTAAACTTTAGGATGTTGGGAATTGAATTTATTGATTATGTACATGAGAGAAGAAGAGTTTTGTTTGTGTTTAACAAGAATCATGTTTGGTGTGTTACTTTATTCTGTTTATTTCTCTGTTTTTCTAAGAGATTTTCTGTTTTACATATTACAAAGCAGTTCTAGAGTTGAGAACTAATGGTCATATTAGACTTCACTTTGGCCCAGATAGAGATATTCAAACTTCATCTAATCTTTCCCTCCCAAAGGCTTCAGAGGAAATTATTCCAGGCGAGCCAGAGACTTATCGCCCTCCGGTAGAGCTGTACCCCTACCTCAATACTATGGGGGAGATTTATGAAGGTGAGGAGACTGGATGTGCCCGCTTTGAAAAAAAGAAATAAAAAAATCCTAACACAGCCAGGTGCTTAAACTTATGGAACTTTCCAGACCATAGATGGACCTTCCACTCTGAGCGAGTCCAGCCATCAGAGTTTGAGAATTCCCCCGTGAATCATCTCACAGAGCTGCAGGCCGTGTCTCCTCAGCAGCTGATACAGCCCTACAGATACGAGTCTCTGCCCCTTCACCTGGACCCTCCGCTCGCCCCTCTCTCGGTGTCACCGCAAGTAAGTCAGCGTGTGGAAGTTTATGGGTTTGGAAAGTCTTAGCACATGTGATGGAAATTTCGGCATGCAAGTGCCCTGGCAAGGAAGTGACTGATAATGATTACATCCCCCCGTTAAACACATCATTAAATCTAAAACAGTGTCGGTTTTGACAGTGAATTTATTAATAGCACGCGGCAGTGATGTTTTGCACTGACATTATATCAGCTGTTACTACAGCAGTGATTCACATAAGTCTGTTTGCTCACAGAGAGATGACACATTTACTCGACGCAAGTGTGCGGATTTTGAGCATGAAAGGCCACTCACTGGAAAAACTAAGTCTCCGTTGATTCTAATCACTTTCGGGCGAGCTTGACACTGATTTGACACTGTGGGTTGTTTTTTTTTTTACATTTTAAGAGAAAATGAAAGCAAATTAGTTGACTTTACTTCACTTGACTTGAAATTTAAATGTTAATTAGGGCTGTCGGTTATGATTATTTTCATTAAAGTTGCCTCCTCTAATAATCCTTTCGCCCATGCAATGTCAGAAAGCTATGAACAATTCCCAACATGATTTTTCAGAACCCAAGAAACATCACAAAAGACAAAGGAAATCAGCAAAAATTCACAATTAAGAAGCTAAAATCTAAGAATTCTGGCTATTTTTTGTTACAAATTAGATGTTAAAATTTGTTGGCAATGAGTATTGTTTTTTGAAAGAGTACTAAATCATTCCATTCTAATGTTAATATACATAAATGTTCGGTTTCAATCGAGTTTCATTTATATAGCACCAATTCATCACATAAGTAATCTCAGGAAATCCACACAGCGAGGTCAAGACCTTAAAATATTACATTATAGACAGAAGCCCAACAAATCCAAGGATTCCCTTTGAGCAGCTCCTGTGTGGATATGTGAGCTCCAGAATTTAATACCATGGGATGTGTGTCTTTAGAATCAATTTATTGCAGCCTCCACAATGAAAACACACTATTTTCAGGAATTACTCAAAAGAAAACATGAGGGATTTAGAGCTTTTGTGAAGTCTTTTTTTTTTTTTTTTAATGCAATTTCATCTTCACAAATGCAGAACATGATGTGGACAGTCTGGGATATTTTCACTGAAATGTCATCTGCACCACGTGGTGCTGCTGAGCACTGAATTCTATTTTGGCCAAGCAACTTCCTCTTTTAATACAATGGCAGTGTTTAAAATGTCAGACGGTGAATAATTGCAAAACAGAAAATCGCAGCTCTGTGACTTCTGTATGTAAACTCCATGTATGATGTGCTTTACATTTCCCGCACAGATGCCATATTTCAGCTACCCGTATCAGCCGTCATCCTCGCCTGGAAATTGCTATTCAGAGGAGGACAGAAGAGGAATCATTCCCCTCCTCGAGGTATCAGAGGGGGAGGAAGAATTTGAGGACCACAACCACTCTTCCTTCAGGAAAGACACTAGTGAGTACTTGAGATACAAATTTCTGTTTTTTTGTTGTTGTTGTTTTTTTAATGAACATTAATACTGCAAACCTGCATAAATTAACAAAAATTGCTCCAACAAATATATTTTCCAGGCAACAAGAGAAAAATCCGCCTGTACCAGTTTCTCCTGGACTTGCTACGAAATGGTGACATGAGTGACAGTATCTGGTGGGTGGATCAGGACAAGGGCATCTTCCAGTTCTCCACAAAACACAAAGAAGCTCTGGCAAGCCACTGGGGTGTCCAGAAAGGAAACCGCAAAAAAATGACCTACCAAAAAATGGCTCGAGCTTTGAGGAACTATGGTAAAACTGGAGAGATTAAAAAAGTAAAGAAGAAGCTAACCTACCAGTTCAGTGAGGAAGTGCTGAGAAACCACTATTTATGTCCGTATCCTCGCTGATGAGAGAACAGAGGCTGTCTTTATCATGCTGAAATCACGAAACTAACCCAAATTCTGTTTTGCCTGTATATTTGTAATTTCACTGTTTTACTTCCGAGTTTCGATACGTATTTATTTGTAATGCCAGTGTGTTTCTTCCTGCAAAATTCTATATAAACTGCTTATTTCAGACTCAGACTAAGTTTGTCTTTGTTTGTGTACAAGAATTAGAGAATAATTAAAGATCAGGGACTGCTGACTGCCCCACAAATGATCTGTAAAGATTTGAGTGATAGATAGATAGATAGATAGATAGATAGATAGATAGATAGATAGATAGATAGATAGATAGATAGATAGATAGATTTAGTAATGTCAGTCCCAAAAGAATGGTTGCTAAAATGTGAACTCATAACTGACATTAAAATAAACACTGGTCTTGAGACTCACTGATCAGATAACACCTCATACTGATCAACTTCAGACCAGCACTGCATCAGAGTCAGCCACATTATTACACCATTTAAAAAAAAGTGTATCTGGAACATCAAAATAATCAAACTAAAACACCTTACTGCTATCTGACCCCAAATCATGAATATAAACTGGCAGAATATCCTTTAACTGTCAGAGATGCAAAGCAGAGGCGGATCCTGACCAAATACAGACCACAGTGAAGCCAGTGAGGGAGGATGACACATATTCGTGCCAGCAAAGCATACTGAACTGAAAAAGGAGGAACAATGAACCCTTGTGGATGACACATCAAGGGGTGTTGAAGACATTTGTGCGTGCGTGTCCTGCTTCAGTGTTCATCATAGCTTTTTGGGGTTTTTTTGTCAGATGTATTGTTGAATACATATACCCAATGTTTTACATGATGGTGAAAAATTATATATTATTATTATTATTATGGTGCTATGATTAGTTTTGTGACGAATTCCCCACCTGCACTGAAAACTGTTTGAGTCAAGCAGGAAATTAATTAAATTTTTAAAAAAAACAAACAAAAAAAAAAACCTCGGTGACATACTGTTAAACACATTCAGTGAAAACCTGGTGGGTTACCTGGGTAATGTTGTAGTCGTTACAGAAACATTGAACAGAATTTAAACTTCTCAAATCCATGTTTCTTTCGGGGAAACGGGTCAGCCTTTGTCTCAGCTGAAGCTGGTGCTGTCCCCGCCTTAAATAAACAGTTTACCGAGACAAGAAAAGACGCGGCGCTTCCTGTGACGTCTATTTAATCAGCCAATCAGAGCGCAGACGTTGTTTCGGTGCAAATTTCAAACGTAGTCGACAAACGGACGGAAAGCAGGACAAGAAGAGGAGCACCGGGACCGAACCAGACCGCTCCTTACCTGGGAACACAGCCCGGGCGTCAAAGAAGATTGCTTTTTAATACGTTTCAGTTGTCTGAACAACATGAGAGTGAGGTTCGTACTAAATAAATTAATTAACTTGTTTAATTTGTGTATTTCGTTAGCATACTTCCTGATTAGCCTGTTGCACACCGTTAGTATGTTCGGGCCGAGTCGTCGTCTGTGTTTGTTGCAATAACTTTTTTGAGTAATTCTGATTTTTTATTTTTTTTGTTTAGGTTTTGGTTTTGTTAGTAACCTGCGCCTTATGACATTTATTAGACGTTACATCTAAAGTTGCATCCACAGTTTAGCTGCCTCTGGCAGCTAGCTAACATTAGCTTGATCCGTCGACGAGCGGGTTGTAGCATCTAACGTTAGCTTTTGGCTACTAACAGAATTTGCTACAAGGGCTGGACAATTATTAATGTCAAATCGAAATGAAATGAGCAAATTGCAAAGGCTCCAATATAGTATATATGGTATACAGCACGTCTGACTCAGGTTTTGACCTGTTGAGTCAATGGCTTTTCTCCTTGACAGCCACCCTTTGATGGTATTTAACATGGTGATACTCCATCACATGTTTTAAAGCTATTACACAGTCTTTTGAAAGTCCTATTGCAAAAAAAGGCACCAGGATTTCCCTTAATCATCCAGCCCTAGTTGATTTTAAGTTCTTTCATACTTTGCTGATTATACTAATGTTAGGTGTTTCACTCCCAGAACACTAACCATCTTGATCACTTGTTTTCCTCCAGTGAAGTCCACGCAGCAGAGTCTGTTGCCTACATGAACAGGGCAATGGTCAGGCTGCAGGATATCTGGGATGAAATTGGGATTCCCGAAGAGCAGCGTGTGCAGAGAACCAATGATGTTAACAAGCACATTAAAGTAAGTCCCACATCAAGGAACAGTACTCTGAACAAAAATATGAATGAAAATGTTCTTCTTTTCATACTTTAAAGTTCAATCTTATTGCTATGGGTAGAAAAGGATTCAATTTAGCCAGTCGTGCACTAAAGGTTTTCAAGCTCTTCATCTGGTGGTAAATTCTCCACCACTAAGTTATTCCACGCCCTACTCAGCTGTGGCATTAAAAGACAGTGATCAAATGGTGTGACCAGTACACACACTCCTTTGACCCGTGACTATGAAAGGCCACCTTAAAGTGCAGCTTTATTCAAGTGACACGACACGACAGATCAGTGAGAAAGACAAGAACAGGCTGTTGGCCTGCTGCATGTCAGATAGGGCTGAAGCCAGGTACTTAAACAAACCCTACATTTGTTGTCTTATTGTTTCAGACAGCATAGCAAATAATGCATATAGTTCAATAAAATATTACACGCCAAACTTATATTTTTGTTCGGTATAATTAGAGTCACAGAAAACTGACCTAACAAGCCATTTTCCTTGCCCACAGGGTTTGCTGGACCTCATGATTGCTGAAGAAGAAGGCCTCAAAAAACGATTACTGACAAGCATAGAGTCTTGTCGTGAAGAACTTAACCTATTGTGCGCTGAACTTCAGCTGCCCCCCTTTGAGGTACAGTCTTATTTAAAAAGGGTGTAGTTGTTTCTTTGTTCATGTCTAGAAAATCCTAATGTGTTGGGGCTCACTTCTTGGCTTTGTTTGCAGGAGGAGGACGGCTGCACCATGTTGCAGATGGAGAAAAACAGCCGCACACGTCTAGAGGTCATGATGGAGCACAAGAAGCAAAGAATGGAAGAGCTTAAAGGCTTCACTGTCAAAGACCGCGAGCTGTGTGATATTATGTGCACTACACCCTTCAGCATTGACCACAACGCCGTTCCATCACTGAAGCAACTGGAAACCTATCGTGCCTACCTGGATGATCTGACCAAAGAAAAGGTGTTACTCACACTCTGCTTTCGTAACTGCTTCTTGCATTTTGTTATTGGGTTTGTAACCAGTCTTACCATTTCAGGAGCGTCGTCATGATGAGTTTGTGAGCATCAGAAAGGAGATCATTGTATACATGGATGATCTGGAGCAACAACCAGAGACCAGTTTTGAAACGGATGTGATGTGTGAGGATGAGGAGGAATTTTGCCTATCAAATGACAACATTGCAGCTCTGAAACTGCTCCTCAGTCAGGTGAGTTTTTGACATTCGCCTCAAGATGTTTGCTAGTCTGCAGTATTGTGTGTACATGTGATATCAAATTTGGTGTATGATTTGTCCTCTTCCAGTTACAAGAGCGCAAGGCTGCAAATGAACTCCGTTGCCTAGGTTTCCGTACTAAGATCCAGGAGTTGTGGGAAAGGCTTCGTATTCCACAAGAGGACAGGGATGCCTTCGCAGAGCATATGGAAAAGTCAAAGAAGAAAAACATTGAGGCAGTAAGAAATTGACCTCATGTGGTCATTTACAATAATGATAAATGATTTAAGATAATGGAGTCGTGTTTCACCAAGCATCTCTAACTCCTCCATATGAATTTGTAATGCTGTGCATTGTGTATTTCCAGCTCCAGGTTGAGGTCCAGCGTCTAGAGGTGCTGAAGATGCAGAGCATGAAAAGTGTCGTTGAATCCATCAGAGCTGAGATCACCCTTCTGTGGGAGAAATGCTTCTACAGCCAGGAACAGCAGGAAGCCTTTGTTCCATATCATGACGGTGATTAGCTGATGTTTCATGAAAACTCCCTTACACTGAATCTAAGCAACACATGCCACAAAAGGAATGGTGGTCTCAATGCACGTTTTCCTTGCACAGACGATTTCACCGAAGAGCTTCTCAACCTGCACGAGGCTGAGGTCAGCATCCTGAAGAAGTATTACGAGGGCCACCAAGAACTCTTTGAAGGAGTTACAAAATGGAAAGAGAACTGGACCCTGTACTTGGAACTTGATGTAAGTATTATCCTCCTTAGTGTAGCGTGGATGCTTTTAAAGCTAAGTTCTCTCGGTATGGTAAGGTGATCCATATGTGCTTCCCATTTCAGAAAAAGGCTAATGACCCCGCACGGTTCAACAACAGAGGTGGGAACCTTCTGAAAGAAGAGAAGCAGAGAAGTGACCTGCAAAAAAGTTTGCCTAAGGTAAGGAAATATTGATGTTTTCTGTTTATCCGGTAAATATGTAAACATGATTATATTGTTAGCAGATGTCTGCCAGTAGGAGAAGCATGAGTTTTACATGAATTGGCACTGAATCTGATGTGGGGATGTTAAAACATTACCTTAGTGTGTAGTTTTCGTATTTGATTGTTGCGCAGCAGAGCTTGACAAAGACATTTTAGAAAACTGGACTGTAATGTTGTCTGACAGTCAATTGTCAATCTGTTAATATGGCAACAAGGTCAAATAAATGTTTTGTTTGTTTCAGCTGGAGAAGACTCTGAAAGCCCAAATTGATGCTTGGGAAGAGCAACACAGCAAGGAGTTCCTGGTGAATGGACAGAAATTTCTTGAGTATGTGCAGCAACAGTGGGACCACCACCACAGTGAAAAGGAGAAAGAGAAGCTGGAACGGGTATGTTATTGTTTCTGGAGTTTTGTTTTGTTTTTTCCATTTTTTATTTTTTTATTTTTTAAACTGCACCTTGCATTTCCCTGTGACAGAAATACGAATATTTTACATCCTTTTTTGTGTGTAAACAGCAAATGAAGAAAACGAAGCAGACGCAGGAGGATATGTTGTATGGGACGGTAATGAGAACACCATCTAAAAGGCGTTTAGCAGGAACCCCCACACCTGGAAAAGTAAGAAAGGTAAGACGCTCCTGGAGTTTCCTCAGATTTATTAGCTGCAATTTCTTAATTCACTTTTGAACTTATGGCAGAGAAAGGGTTAAGGAAAATTGGGGGGGAAAGCTTATGGTCGACTTTCAATAGTTTTCTTAATGTACTTGACCGTTACATGAAAACACGGTGATTATGTGTGAGAATGTCCAACGACATTGATTTGACTGTACCTGGATTAGTGAATGAAGAGCTCACCCTTCTTTTTCTTCTGTCCATGCAGCTCAACGGCACCTCGACCATCTCCACTCCCAACAGCTTTCTTAGTTCAGGCCTCGGTGGAACCATGTGCCATTCCTCCATCCAGAAACCGCCTCTGTCTGCCAGCAAGGTAGATTCACTGTGGTAGCTGTGAATCATCTCACTGTGTGTTTTTTTGACAGCGATCAAACCATTAAACTTGGATTGGTTGGTTCTGTATCTGTTGTTTTTGTTTGTTTGTTTGTTTTATGGTAATGAGGCTAAGCTTGAACTTCTAGTTTCACTCCTAAATTATTGTCTTTGTCCACTGTCGTTATTGTCCTTTTCTCAAAAATTGCATTAAATGGAAGGTCTTGCTAAAAACACATTATCGTTGTTGGTTTTGTTGTAGGGTCTTGGTTTGCGAACGCCTGGACATGGAAAGACCCCGCGTGCACTAGACCGAAACAAGGAAAACATCTCCCATCTAAATAGAAACACTCCAAGTGGCACTCTAAGGTCTCAGGATACTCAAGATCACACCTTCACCTTTAACTCAATTGCTGCCTCCTATACGGATTTTGCGGTAAATGGGGGTTTTCCATTTGTTTAGTCTTTAACTACACAAAGTCCACTGAAGTACATAGCTTATATGTGACCATCATTTGCTATCAGTGTTGTTCTAAGACAGGATTTTGAAAAGTGCATTTTTGGACGTGGATTAAAAAGTTGTAGAAACTACTGAGTAAATCTGAAGGAATGTCTTTGTTGCTATGTAGACATGCTCAAATTTGTATTTTGCATCCAAAATTCCCAACTTATATACTTTTGAAACAAAGCAAAATATCAGTCAAACAATAAATGACATTATGACAAAACTTTATTAAAAAGATTTGAGCCACCTTTAGTGTTTTGTTGACTATACAGTAAAAACCTACGTGACTGAAACATGAAGCAACTTTAAAAAAAACAACCAAGTCTGCCGTATCCACCAACATACCAGACTCTGTGAATGTGTGTAAATTGAAACCTTTTTTTAATATAAACAGATGAATTTTGACTCTTCTTTACAGAGAGACCTCACAAAGGCTTCTAAATCGAATGTGAAGTCGGGACTGTTGAACTCCACCGTCAGCCACCACTGATTGTTCCGAGGAGCCGCTCCACACCGAGAGCCGTCCAGCGCCGCGGTACTTTAGTGTGGATTTCCGGCAGTGGACAGGAGAGAACTTCAATGTAAACTTCTTAGAAAAGTGTAAATATTTTAATCTGTGTCAACATTTTGAATCTTTTTACTTCAGGGTTTTACTGCTGCAGCAGTTTCTTCACTGTATGTATTTCTGTCCCCTCAAGTGATTGTTTTTTCTTTTAGGGTTACAGCTTTTCTAAAGGACACACATTATCTAAAGCACTACTTTGTTTCAAAACAGTAGCATTTGGCCAATGAACTGATTTTCCTCCTATTTTTTTCATTTTATTTTTAACATCACGCTGTAAATAAACGGTAAAAAAAAACCCTATGTGTACATTTTTGCCTCTTCTTGAGTTGCACATGTTTTATGTCCACTGAGTCCAAGTAAGAACTCAAAGGCAGGATCAGTGGAGCGTTTTCACTGGATATGTGAAAATCATTTTCTGTGTAAACTAGCAGATGGGAAGGTGGACTTTTTAAGCCATGCGTGTCATGAGTTCCTCAAGAGCCCTCTCACGGTGATTTTCATGAACAAGAAGCACTTCTTTGATGGCACTTTGCTGGAAGCCCATCTCATTAAACTGAGTCAGCAGGCGCAGGAACTCGGCAGCCTGAAATCAGATTTTAAGTGTTACTGACACATCAGGTTAGGATGAGCTGTGACTGTGGTGCTGCTGCTTCTTTGTATTGAGCTGGACTCACTTTGCTCTCACAGTTCTGAAACATCTCCAAGGCCTCCTCCACTTGAGCTTCATCATAGCCCAGCTCACACAGGCGGTCGCTGGCAACCAGGTACTTTAAGACCTGCCAGAAAATAAAGTTCAGGTTGACATGCTGGGACTGGAATAAAGTACATCACCACCCTGAATTACATGCATTTGTAGGTATATTTTATCATTTTTATTGCTTAAGCTATTATTTGTATTTAATATATGACATATATTATAGGTTCCTTAACATGTTAACTATTCAGGATAATTTATATTACATATGATATTTAAATCAGTCAGGTAAGTTTATATTTTATATACTGTCAGGTTTTAAACACAATATTTAACTTACTCAGGGAAATAATGCTGTAGGGTCTTGACCTCAATATTTTAATTTGTTGAGCATATTGGTTTAACAGCCGTCACTTCAAATATGCTACATAAATAGTGACTTCGCTTGATAAATATTGACATTTAGCATTTTTGCATCTGTTGTCTTCTTGTTTAACTGTTTTAATTGTTGTTACCTTCTGGCTATCCTGCCTTTGCTGTGTCAAAGCATTTTGTAAACCTTGTTATTATATGTGTACTACTGCTTTACAGACGATTAATAAGCTGTTTTAATTTCACATTGACAGCTACCTGTGTGAGTTATTAATGCAAATCAAAAATATTTTATGGATGCTTTGTTGTTATTCATCCAAAATGTCATCAGTCAACAGCTTATCTCCCAAAAGTAGAGCCTACCTTGTCTGGGCTCCTGTAACCAGTCTTCTGCAGAGCCAGAATAGCTGTGCGTAACGGGTAGCCCTTCTCAGTGATGGTTTCCAGTAGCTCCCTCTCCTCCTGACTGAGTGCTGACAGAAGCTCTGTTGCAGAGTCAAAGAAAACTCCACGAGAGCCACTAGTGGTCAGGACCTGATGATGAAGAGAGAAAAGACAAAAAATAAAATGAATCATAAACGACCTTTTAATGTGTGATACACTCTCAAACACACTTGTGAAATCTAATGCAAGCCTGTACCACAGCTCTGCCATTCATTCTACTTTTGTGAAGCTTCTCCATTTCAGGTTTAGTGATTATTTTACTTTATGTTCGATGCACATTACATTTGTTCCTGATGTTTTGCCCTTCTCATGTATGTTAATGGGGTGGATTCAGTTATATTTCACAGGTGTATATTTTCCTCAAACTCACCTTCTTCCTGGGGTTTTTGACAACAGGCCCTGCAGAGGAGGGTCGCTGCTGCTGCTGCTGCTGCAGCCTGGATGGAGAAGGACCAGCAGGTGGTGTGTTTTGGGAGAACCGTCTGCCCCCAGAGCTCAGTGAGCGCTGCCTCTTCTTGCCGTTCTTCTGGCCGTGAAGTAGGGGGCTGCATTGCTGCGACCTGTGCTGCTCCAGAGCACGCAGAGGCTGTCTGCAGTCTGGGAGAGAACCTCTGTGGCCTCTGAGTGACTGAGGGGAACCAGGCTTACAGTGGTGAGCAGCAGGACCGAGGTGCATGTCTTTGACCCTGGAGACGGGGTCTTTGGGTGCAGCACTCCGGGGCCGTTCTCTGCTCTTGACGGGGTGAGGTGCATCTTCAGTGGACGAGCCTTCCTCATCTTCATCGTCGGAGTCAGATATGAGGAACTTGACGGTGCGATGGTGCAGCCAGCGAGCGTCTGCAGAGTTGAGGCTGTGGCTGCGGGGCCGGGGGCTGGGGGCCCACGGATCGCTGCCCCTGCGACCGACCCTGTGACTCTCCCGAGGGCTGCTGAACATCAGCCAGTAAGGCGGGCAGGAAGGAGCCTGACAGACTGGCTGCTGCCCGGTTAGAATCCATCTCTCCAGGTTGAATCCATACTGCAGGAAAAACAAAGAACAAAGAGATTTTAGGAAACAGAACTCTTTCACAGCACATGTGTTACTAATAATATTAACAATGGCTGAGTTGTTGTCAAGCGCTCCAGTAAACCGTGACAGTGCGTCTGCGAGCCAAGAGCCTGAAACTCATTTGATCATTTATACATTTCCAACTAGGACATACCGAAGCAGGCCTATAAGCAGAAGTATAACATTGTACAGGACTTTAAAAAGCACAATTTTGAGGAACTTGTACTTTGAGTATTTCTATTTTATGCTACTGTATACTACCACTCTACTATATATTTCAGAGGGAAATACTGTACTTTTTGCTCTACTAGATTTATCTGACAGCTTTAGCTACTTTTAAGATGAACATTTTTACACAATGCTGGTAAAATACAACTAATTTTCAAGTTTAAGCCAGCGGGTCTCAATCTTTTTGGCTTTTGATGACTTACAAAAAGCAGTTTGGAGTTGCGATTATAACTTAGATGTCTATAAGTTGTTAACAGCTCCACTAAATGGTGATGTTAGATAAGAGAAAAAACTAAAATTAGATTTGTCGATCAGAACTTTGTTTTTTTTACTTCAATATTTAAACTACACTTTGCTGACCACAATTATGTATTTTTTACTTAAGTAGGATGTTTACTTGTGCTAGTCCTTAGGTAAAGAATTTGAGAACTTCTTCCACCACTGTCTGAGAAAGTAGTATAAGTAGGATGCAAAAAAACAATCTAAGCTTTCCAGTAAGAACGTAATGTGATATTTTTGGTTATTCTTTGACACTGACAATCCTTCATTACAGCATCACAATTGCCACTTTCACATTACATTTACATTATGTTGTTTAAGGAGAACATCCCTATTCTACACTGGATCTGTGTCAACAAATGTACAACAGGATTAAAAGTAGATCCGTTAAAACCAAGTATTCTAAAGTCTGGATTTTCAAACAATTAAACTGAAGCATAACTAAGAAAATAAATGATATCCAGCTCTTGTCAGGCAGATATTGCATAAGTAAGACTACATAAGTGTTATAACATAGAAAGTTAAAGCAGATAAACACAAAGAAAAACATTCAGTTTAGCAAATATGTGTATGATCACTTAGATGTGTAACCTCAGTTTCCTTCATTGTCCGGCGGCAGTTTGGTACAGTGATGTCCGGAGCTGTCAGGAGCTGCACTTCCTCCTCCAGCGGACCCAGACAGGTCTGAAACGGGACATCCTCCAGAAAGTTCATCGTTCACCACAGCACACCAACAAATACGCTGCATCAGGAGAATCACAGTGAGCTCCTGTGGTTTTTAATTACAGGCCACATTTATTTTTTTGCAATTTCATAATTTCTTACCTTTTCCAGGAATTCTCCTCCAGGTAGGCAGACCTCTGAATCATGGACAGGTGTTTGGAGTAAATGACAGCGACATCGCCATGTGATAAACCTCTTCATCACTAAGCCTCTGACATCATCACAGAGGTTGTTTACCAATAATATCTCAGATGCCTGCTGTAATCCAGCCTGCACAGGTCCACTACACATAACAGGGCTTTGAAACGTGTGTACATTTAATAATAGGACAAAGTAATACAAAAATAACGCATATTATAAACAGCGCTGACATTAGATATGTCCCTGATCATTCCATGTGTTACTATTAACACATTCAAAATGTTTGTTTTTTACAATTTTTCTTTAATATTTTAAGATTTTTTGATTGCAGCTTTTTAAATCCATATTCAAAGCCACACTGCAGACAACAATTTCCATGTGGACTGGAAGGAGGATTATGGAAATGCTGAGGTATCGGGAAACAAAGCACAGCACGATACTTTCCAGAGATTAGCTGATTACATAAAGGTGACAGCCTGACAGTGTTGTACAACGTTAGGATGTCTCTGACATTCAGTTGTTGTTTGTTATGTGTTGTGAAGGTCTAAGAAACATTTCAGCGTATCTGCTTTGGCAGCGAACAAAATGAATTTACACCGCATATTGTGATCTGAACAAAATTCAGAGGTAAAGAACAATTTAAATTTTGTACAGAGATATACATTTTATTTATATATTTTAAACAATCACAATGAATTTGAGGGTCACAAATGTTTTCGTGGGGGGTTTACAGGTTTGTAACAGACCTCTGAAAACAAAAGCAGTTCTGAAAGTTTACTGAAAGAAAATGAAACTTAAAGCAAAGGGAGAACAAATCTAGTTTAATCTAATTTTATAGCACAGACAGCGTTTTAGAGAGTACAGCAGCGTGGTTCAGTCAGAGAGCATTTAGGTAGAGACGTGACTACAGACGTGTACTGAGGTACCATTTAGTAACAGGTTATTAACATCACTAAAGGTGAGCTGAGTTTCTGACAGTGGGGCACACACAGAGGAAATAAAAATATCTGTTTTGTTCTGAGGAGTGCTTCACAAAGCAGGTTTGGAGACTAAGCCGGTTCAACCTGAGACTATCCACCTGATAATAACTTGAATCTGGAGAATAAACTTAAATATCTGGCTTAGCGATATGATTCAGTCATGAACACTGGAGAACTACAAAACAGAACTTGAAAAGATATTTCATCAGCACTTCAAGTTACCCTGCTAACCTGCTAATCCTGCTTTGTGAAGCAGCCCTCTGATCCGGTCCTGCGATACAGAGGCCTGTAAGTAAACACATATACATTTCTTAAAGAGTGGGCTAAAAGAAGAAGCAAAACACGGAAAAATAACCATTCTGGCTGTTTAAAAGGTCACCCTTGTTTGTCACCTGCTGTGTTTAGTGTGCTGGTGCGTTATACTTCACAATATGTTCTCCTAATTAGAGGTTGTGTCATACAAACTGCTTACAAATGCTACCAAAGCAGCGTAGCTAAACATTTACAGCCCATTTCACTGTGAGCACCATTATTACAATGGTGGTAAAGAAGAAAACATCAAAATATTGATGTGCTCATGGAATATCGTGCCCTTATGATATAAGGCATTAACTTGACATGGTAACATCACATTTACACTTTTCTCAGCGCCCCATGTTTTCAAGTGTACAGTATGATCCCATTTACTTCCATTTGCTTCCCGTGCCATTACAGCCCATCACCACAACAAGAGAAAACAAATAAACTAGCTACAAATACTTTCATGAATAAAATTGCATTATCTTTATATAGATAAAATGTTAACAATCCCCAGAGATTGAAATATTTTATTAAGGTCCACCCTGTGAGTACACCACTACAGAATTAACACCTGATGCACAGGACCAAAGGTTGTTACACTCTCTCAACTTGTTCAGGTTGAAAACCTCTTCAGCGATGTCCAGAGCTTACTGTCAGGGGCTATAATAAAAGACTTGGTACCAAGCTTGGCATCCAAAAGGTTCATAGTAATCTAATGATTTGTGACAGAACGGCCTTTAGGTGAAATGCGTCACATGTGGTTCAGTTGTTAGCAGCGTCCGCCTGCCGAGGCCAGTTCTCCTCCTCAATGCCAGAGTCGTACTCCTCTTCTGTCGACTCCTTGGCTGGAGTTCTGAAATTCAAATGGAAGCCACAGTTCAAGTTTCAAACCACGCAACTATGGAGACTCAGTGTAGCAGGCTTAAGGAATCGGATCTCTAACATGACACAAACATCCCAGTTCTGTGAGCAGAGACACTGACCTGATGTATCTGGGTTGGGATTTTCCTTGAACAACATCTTTATCCAGCTCAACAGCCATGATGTCAGAGTGCGGCACCTCGAACATGGGCTCAAGAAGGAGCTTTTCCTGTGTGTGACAAAAACATTTCATTGTACATCATCAGTACAGAAAATTCAGACAAGAATAAAGATATCTTTGGCACAAAAAAAATATCACTGACCATAATTGATCTGAGCCCACGGGCTCCAGTTTTTCTCTCCAGGGCCATTCTGGCAATGGCCTTCAAGGCATCTTGAGTTACATTGAGTTCACACTGAAATAAAAAAAAAAAATTGCATATTAATTTTAGTTCCACAAATCCAGTCCTTTAAGTCTAAGCAGGTACATGTGGATAACTTTCATACAAATGTGTTATTTTCCTCTCGATCTGAAAAATGTACATACAAAGTATCCCAGACAGAGTCTCTTGAAAACTGTCAGAGGGTCAATGAATTTATATTTTATTAAATCTATTTTGCGATAAAGAGCAGAAATATGGCACAGGCATTACAACGTAGTCCACGAATGTGTTTGCAGGTATTTGAGGTGATGACGCTGCATTCTTTGGTGGACATTCCTGTTTCTCTTTGTTGGTTTGTTGCCAGACCCCTCTGCATTGCCACCCTCACTGAGCAAACACAGCAGGCTGCATTTTTTCACGCTGTGCTGTTGTCTGTCTCAACATGACCAAACACTGTACTATTAACAACTATGACAGCAGAGGCCCTTACTTTGTCCATGCTGAACAGAGCCTGGTACTGAGGCACCACAGCATTGCGAGGTTCAGTCAAGATCCGGACGAGTGTTTCTTCATCCAGGCTGTGCAGAGGAACAACGACAGGAAGACGGCCAACAAACTCTGGGATCATGCCGAACTCAATCAGGTCCCTGGCCTCTACGTGCTTAAGCAGCCTGTCCTTCTCCTCGATCTCTGCAACGGTGTCGGTCTCACCGCTGGTGTTGGCCAAGTCTGCTGCAGCGGCTGCACGGCGCCCTTTCCCCAGGTTAGAGGGAGTTCCAAAGCCCAAATACTGCAGAGATATCAAAGATGAGGATCAAGTTAGAGGCAGAAACGATAAAAAACAGGGGTGTTGGCTGAATGCCTGTTGATACAGAGTATATATGAGCTGTAATAACTTTACCTTTTCATTCTTTCTTCTACTAATGATTCTGTCAAGTCCATTGAAGGCACCGGATGCAACAAACAAGATGTTTGTTGTGTCGACCTGCACCGTTTCTCCTCTCAGTTTCCTGGAGTTTTTCTCGGGAACGTTGACAATTGTCCCCTCCAAGAGTTTAAGCAAACCCTGACAGAGAGGAAAAGAAAGAAGGTCAACACAAGTCCACTTGGACCCAGACAGGATAAGGAAAAAACACAAAACAAAAACAGGAAACTAGCTACAGTTATAAATATCAGGAAAATCTGTGGCTCCATTAAAACACATTTTGTTACTGAAATTTTACTGAGCTTCATGTCATCAGACAAATTAGTGCTGCAACAGTCATTATATTTCATATTAAAATCAAAAAATCCAAAACATCTGATGGTTCCAGCTTCTCATTTGAGAGAACAAGACAGAAAACTGAATATATTTGGGTTTTGGATTGTTGGTCAAACAAAAATAAGACATCTCAAAGATCACCTGGGGATGTGGGAAAAATTAAATGAACAGAAAAATAATGTTTATAACAAATAATCAAAGAATAATTATTTGTTGCAGCCTTAAAACGGATCGCTGTACAAAGGTTATATTTAGCTCAGCTCATGCTGAATACTGACCTGCTGAACTCCCTCCCCACCCACATCTCTCAGCTGATGGATTCCAGGCACGCTGCCAATCTTATCAACCTCGTCCAGGAACACAATACCTGCGCACGGAGCAGAAGGACAATGGTGTAAGCTGAACGTCTTACCATTACCTGAGACAGTCCCCGTCTGTGCATAAATGTACTCTTTACTTTAGGTTTCACTTTACACGATACACACCAGTATTCATGTTGAAAACATGAAAACGTGCAGAATAAACTACAAAAAAACTGCAGTTTACTTAAGTTATGATATTCAAAGTCTTTTGAAGACTCCACTGTTTCTCTTCCTGTTAGTATTCCCACAACATAAAGCAAAGTTACACAGTCATTTATGTGAAACTAAAGGATATTTATTCTTTACAAGGATTAAGTGTCACTCTGTGGTTCTACACACAAATTAATCTGGCTCCCTCATACTTCGTTTGTACTGAATTAGTATTGAGTTTTGGCAACACTAGTGGCCTGCTTATATGAATGTTAATGCTGATTAATACATTTCTTTGGCACTTTCATCCAGCGCCACCATGAGGTCAAAATACTGTTTTGTTAAATACTTGTGTTTATAACTAAAGACCTGGAACTAATGACATTCCCATCAGCCTCCAGCTGTACTTTGTGTTTCGAGATGAGAAGGAAACTCTAACAAGAAAAATGAAGGTAACTGTAGCAGGTGAAAGACATCAGCATCCATTGTGTATATAAACAAACATGCTGACATTCAGCCCAAAGCACTGCTCTGCCTCACAGTGCTCTATTGTGACTGTAAACTCTTGCTTGTTAACAGTACATCAATCTTTTAACCATCATACCATGTGTGGAACTATTTCAGACTTCCCATATAAAATCAAAATAGTAACTAAAAAGTGTTTTGTTTTTTGTTTGTTTGTTTATTTTTTTTTTACAATTGTTCATTGATTGAATGGACAGAAAAATCTATATGGTAAGAGACAGAACCGAATGCATGTTCTGTGTTACACACTGGTGCTTGTTTGAGTTCTTGTGCTTCGTGTGTTTTTAAAGCAGCCAGCTTGTTACTTAATAAACATATGGTGTGATTCTGACATTGGAAACTACACTGCTGTTAAATATAGACCCTCTGCCCACCTTGCTGTGCTTTCTCCACTGAGTAGTTGGCATCCTGCAGAAGTTTGGCAATAACTGACTCGATGTCTTCTCCCACGTATCCAGCTTGAGTTAGTGTGGTGCAATCGCAAATTGCAAATGGTACATCCAGACAACGTGCCAGAGTCTGCGCCAACAATGTTTTTCCTGTAAAAAAACAAAATATTTGAATCATCATAAAATTACCTTTAGCGAGACGCATCTATACTACAAACAAACTGTATGTTTGTCCACGTCACTGTGCGATATTCCTATTTAGGACAATGTTGATAGAACACTAACCTGACCCAGTTGGACCTAGAAGTATGATGTTGCTCTTCTCCAGTTTAATGTCAGTGTGTGTGGAGTCCAGCACCTCCCCTCCCCTCCTCTCCTGAGGTGCCTGCTGGCTCGCCTGCTGCTGCATTGACGCTCCAAGAGCATTTCCATGAGGACTGATCCCCGCAATCTGCAGCAGCTCTGCAACAACAAGCCAGTCACAGGATTAGCTCTGTGACCGAAAAGCCAAAACTGTACCTTTAACAAAGAACTTTAAAAAGGGACTTAACACGCTCTATTTGAGTCACTGTTGCATTAACAGGAAATTCATTGAAGGTGTGTGTGACAATCTGACCATAGTAACAGCTTCCATGCACAGGCTAAAAATATGCGTGCCCTGCTCGATGCCAATGTGGAGTTACTAAGTGAGGATGGCTGAACTGAAAATAGCAAAAGTCTGAATGTAGGTCACAGGGGTATCTTATCTGCATGTCAGGTCAAAGATTTACAAGATTCATTTTACTGTGTCAATTTCGGTAGCCTATTTGTATAAATGGTTAACAGGCGAAGGAGGACACCGGTCCAAGCTTAAAATGTAATCTATCGTCAGGTGGGCCTTGAATCATTAATCATGTATGATGTAATTCTTTCGACTGGACAAGACTTTAAATACGTCACTGACATATCTTACTGAGAAAAGGCAGAACAAATCTCAGCCTGAGGACTCACAGTGGCCTGTACATTTTGGCATTTGTGCAACTCACAAAGATAAACAAACAGAAAGGTGTTGATTAAGTGTTGTGACTTTTTAAGGTCACCACTGATAGAAGATAACAGTAATGAGGACCCGTCACTTACTTGTGAATCTGTATTCATCCTCTCGTCTTCTCATCTCTAGCTCTACAAGGAGAGGACGAAAGTACTTAAATCAATATTATCATTAATCATTACCGTTATGACAATATTAATACAGTGCCTGAAGGAAAGTCTGTGCAATTGTGCGTGATAATTATTGAACAAATGCCAAATAATACAGATTAGAGTTCAAGGCAAGGTACGGTTTAAGGCCACATCTGCAACTTCCTATCAGTTATCTGTGTAGACGACATAGAAGTAACTCTTGGTACGGTCAAGCTCCCCATCTGTAAACATTAGAAGATACCGTGCGATAACTTACATGGCTTAGATGTGACAAACTTGAACAACTGCAAGTGTGTTTGGTTTTGCATTAAAACATTTCATTACTGTCAGTTGTGATCCAGCATGATTACATCACCTTTATGTTCATTTTATCAGCAGCTTAATTAAAATCACTATTTTTAGATGTGCTGTAGCTCTGCCCAAAATTAACAATGTGTTCACTCATTCATCCTCTCCATATAATTGAAACTCAGTAATGAGCAGCGAAATGTGCCTTCAGACACTCATTATCATCATCGTCAGTTTGCATGATGACTCACAGCTGTTAGTTCGTGCAACGATGTGGCATCTCTAAATTGCATTGGATTGTGGGATTGTTAGCAGAAATGAGTGTGCATGTCTTTCCTGCTGCTTGGTAGAATTTTGGGGGAAATTATGCAGTGAATACATTAACACACTCAGAGTCTGGACACAGAAGTAAAAGACAGTAAATATGGTGCATTACAGAGTGAATGAGAGTCTATAATTCTATCTTTAAACAATGTGTTGAAACAATATTTTAAATATAGTAAGAACATAAGGTACGGCATTTTTGCCATTTCGTATTACAGGCCCTGTTATCTGTCAATCCCTCTCACTCGCTGTCCTGAATGCTGCCCAGAATTAGGTTAACCTCAAATGTATTTCAGTAAAACAGATTTCGTCTAAACACAGGCGACACAGAACATGGACTTTGATTTGGACCATACTGTTATCCACATCTAACTGCAAGTCTGGTTTACTTGTGCAATATGTCCATCATTATATTTTAAAAGTATAACAGGAAAGATGTTTGAATCAGTTTGTCCAGATGCCAGATGAAGCAATGTGTACAGAAAACACAAATACTGACCACGAGGTGTTAAAGACGGCTGTTTTTCGACCTCCACCTGCTGTCGACTCCCAGCAGGGATGTTGTTGTAGATGCGCTTGTAGTGATTGTATACTGCAACAGCCAACACCTTTTTTGCATAAGACTGGCCAACAACGTACTTGTCGAGATAGGCGTATATCTGGGGAAAAAGGGAGCCAATTTATTCTTCACAACAGCACAAAAGCATAATAAAGTGACCAGAATGTGTAAAACTACAATGACAGTAATTTTACAGCAAATTTATTCCCTGCTACAGTTTCTCACCTTCTTGGGGGGAGGGGGAGGTTTCTGTGCAAATGCCAGTTTCACTGCCTCCGCAGCAGATTCTGGCTCTTTGTTTAGCCCTTTCTTAGAGTCCGTCTCAGACAGGACCACGAAAAAGTGATGACATTTCTCACATTTCACAAATCGTGTTGATGCTACAAAAGAATACACAACACAGACAAAGCTCAGAATCTGAAACTGTGGTTAAAAGAAACTTTAGCAGATATCTTTTTAAGGTTGCAGAATAAACTGACTAATATAAATGTGTAGAATGTCAACATGATGAAATGAAAAATACTTTATTCATCCCAGAAGGGAAATTCAATTGATGATGATGCTCAAAGTAACAGTTTTCATACTGAAGCATTACACTGATATTTGTTTTTTTTTTTTTTGCTAAAATAGGACAATTCTATAATTGATGTTTTTTTGTTATTGTTTTTTTAAATGTACTTGTACAACAAGAGCTTTAGCTAGACACAAAGCCTCAGCTCTATACCGTTAAGGAAGAGCATCAATTTAAAAAATAAATATCTCCATACATGTGCTGCCAAGCCCTTCCTCTGGTGCAATAAAGTTGCTTTCAAGACAATCAATTGCTCTTTTTTGCAGTGCACGTCTATGTTTAAATTTCTTTGTCTTTAATTAATGACTGATGACTAAACTGAATTATTACTTCACTATCATCAGATGATGACAGACTGCTGCTTCTTTGTAAGGTGAATCGGAAAATATTGTGTGTAACTGTGTGTGCATAAACTGAACAAAAACCAGAGACAGTCTGAGCCAGTAGACATCTACTATGAATATCACAGTCTCAGTATTGATTAATGTTCAGCTAACAGTAAGCTGTGTAAGCATGTTTCTTTTTATAAAGACGCATTTAAACATCGTCCACCTTGTTCCTGTGGTCTACAGGAGAACATGAATAAAATTACTATTAACAGCACAAACGTACATCACAAGCCAATCTGTAACCTGGAAAGTTAATGTCAGATTATTTAAATAGCACACTGTCATTAGGTGGACAGGGCAGTCATGCCAGTGGGGGTGTGCACTCGTGGCTTCTAGTTGAGGTTACTCATTGTTGGAAACTGTGTAAAATTCCCCTCATTCTGTTGTCTGCGAGGTTTCATCTATCAACCCAGACACAGGCCTCCAGACTCACACTGTTATTGTCACAACACAAAGAAGAAAACAGTCACTGGACAACAATGAAACCAACATCTTATAATTTACTTGTATTTCTCTATTTTGGCAAACCGAGGCAGAAAAACAGTCAAGGTGCTTGTTTGTGGGACACTATTTATTTGCTGTGTTTACACTAGTGCTTAGTCATTAATGACACTGTTTTCACCTGGAGACAGCACAGCTTTCATGACTCATCATCACCATTTCCTTTCCCTTTTCTCAATGTCTGGCTCACAACCAACAAATGCCACCAAAACCTGCTGCTGACCTCTACTTGTGTTGGCTGAGTTGTGTTCAAGTTCAAGAAAATACCTGTGTGTTGACAATATTATCTCAATGTCATGTGTCTTTAACTTATTCCTCTTAATTCCTGGAGTTTTTAAAGAAACCTTTCACCCAAAGTATGCTTCAGAGCATCTGTCTAGGTAAACAGTTGCTGAAGAGTAATGTGTTTACTCACATACAAAGGTCTCTACATGTGTACACGGGTCTCCACATTTAGGGCAGCGGAGCTGGCTTCCACCCTTGCCTGATCCTCCAGAGCCAGACAGTCTCTTCCCCTCACTGATGCTTTTCTGTGTAAAGAAAACTGCATTAGCACGTGTGAAATTACAATATCACCATCTACTCCATCTATAAGGTGATGTGGAAGAAGGTTGCAAATGAGATTTATTCTCCAAGAGATTACCTTTCCACCGTCGCTTCCACTGTCCTTTGTTGTTCCATCTTTAGAGGCATAACAGACAGCAGTCTCTGAAAATGACCTCACACGTACCCGGGGAGGCAAATGAGTTTCCCGAGACCCCTGACGACTCAGAGAAAACAACTGAATCCGGGAGCATGACAGTCCTGTAAGAAAAAAAACCCCAAATAAACAAAAACCCTTTTTGATTTCTAGAAATAACTAGTCTTGTGCTCAAATTAATTTACAATGAAGGTGATTTTAGGTGATGTGATTTTTTTGCCTACACAATGCATTCTACCCTGAAAAATAATAAGGCAACAAGCAAACAGCAACATAATGAAAAATGTCACATTCGATCATGTTTGTCTTGTTATCAGACCAGGCACCAATCGTTATCAGTCGATCACCACAAAAAATTATACACTTTAACAACTGACAAATTGTTTTGCACATTTCTGAAGTAAAAACACTAAACACTTTGTGGCTTAAGCTTTCCCAGTGTAAGGATTTGGTGAAGCTGGAAAAATACAAGACAGTAAGCTGCATATTTCTGGTTGGTCTAAACGAGAAGTTTGGACATTTGAGGGTGTCTCACAAAAATTTGAGAAACTATCCTTATTTCATTTTTACAAATGTATGTCATTTAAAAGGCTATTTAATTAAGTGCTTAATCGAATCAGCAAATTAATACAAAATGAAAATATTCATTAATTTCAACTCTACACGTGGGAAGAGACTTTAATTAGTTGACATCACATCAGATGAGTCAAAACTCAACATAATGGCTTAAAATTGTGTTTCTGTCAGTTAATCAGTACAACACCTCATTCTCTGGGACACTATGTCCACGGTAATGTACATGTGCTCCAGTGGCCACATGTTTTTCAACCCTGGACCTCATGTAATTTATGTGAAGGTCTCAGCGAGAATGGATGATCTAACAGGTTAGCTTAGCTAAAGCTACATAACTCTAGTTTGTGTTTTGCTTTGTTAGTCTAAAAACTTTCTTTTTTTTAAAATCACAACTGTACGACTCTATGAGAGGCTGTGTGATGTAACAACGCTGTCCTAACTATAGCTACCAAACTCTGACTTTCCCACCTGCTGTTGACATTAGCTACATAACTGTCATAACAAACAGCACTCTATGTAGGCTAGCCGGAGACCTACTTAACAGCCCTGAGCAAATAGCACAATGTCATGCTCAGCTGGCACGGCGTGTACTTTCTCTTTCTTACCTCTGTGGGCTGTGTTGAGGAACAACCTGGCAGCCGAGGTGCACGGACAGGACATCTCTGTCTTCTGTGTCTAAATCCTGTGAATGAACATAAAGTTAGCTCCGTGCACTGGCTAAATTAGCCTATAGCTAACACCGAAAGGCCAGTTACGTGAAACACTGCATAACTTCAACGTCACTGTTAGCATTAGCAGGTTATTAACTGGTCGGGGTGGTCTTCACTGCTGCTCACAACAGGGGAAATTGTTCAAACAATATTACATGTTTTGACTCGTAGAGCTATCGTGGCTAACCAAGTACATCCAGCTAGTGCTAGTGCTGTACGGCAAAATAAACAACGTAGCTAGTTAGCACACATAAATAACTGTTAGCTACTTAAGCTAGGCCCGAGCCACAGCCACCTAGCGTCTCTGCCAGGGGGAATGACAAACAGCTCTGGCTGGACGGACAGCCGAAGCTGCACAGTGGTTGAGCAGAGCGGCTTCCCCCTGCTAATTAACTGGGTTAGCAGTAAACACAGCTAGCTTAACACTAACGGTACAATAGCAAATAAAAAGAAAACAACGTGTGACGAGCTAATTTTACTCACAGTGCACGATGAAACCAGCCGCGTCTTGACAGCTCTCTCGGAAAAAACAAATTTGCTAAGTCACTACAGCTGTCGCCTTCTCGTTGTAATGTGACAGGTCAGTGTGTCATGCTAATGTCAAAGTCTCTATTGCATGAATGTGAAAGAGTGGCTTCCTTTAGGCCGTTATTTCCCAGGTGGGACACGACCCAAAGTGATGTAACGCTGCTGCTGTGAAGTAGGTTAGGTCGGATGCCCGGCTAGCTGGCTAGCCCTGCCTGTCGGTACAGTAGCTAGCAGATCTGACTCAATCAATGTAGGCGGTGTAAGTAACATGGAAGCTGCCTGCATGTTCATGCGCTCTACACCCATCCAGATATTTACAGATCTCCTGAAACACGGAGCGACTGCTGCTCCGTTCAGGAATACCTCGTAATATGCGCCACTGACTGGGGTGTTGCGAAATTAGGTTGCGTTTGGATGATCCTCGTAAATACCTCACAACGATTTGAACTTGGACGTTCGGGTTTGAGGCCTCAAAATGAAAAGTAATGTAAAACACTGGATCTCTTTCCCTCATCACCTACCACAGACATTTATTCAGTGCATCACATAACACACAGCTTTTAGGTAGGATTATTATGATCCTTTTGCACATTTCAAAGTGTTCATTATGCACATTCCTGTACAATCTGTACCGCTGTCCAGCTTACATATAACATAGAAACATATAGCATATAAATATTATGTATTCATTTCATAATAGCTTTTACTGGCCACACTTGTTCCTTTCTTGTTTCTGCTTTTCTGACTTGCAAAACTTGCTTTTTAGTCTTTTATCCTTCCTCATTCCTCCTTTGTGAAAACCTCCTTGGCAATAAAACTGATTCTGACAGCATTCTAGATGTGTTTGTTGTGACAGTTTCTTTTGGAATCACATGGTGCTCTTTTACTCTTTATCTAAATAAATAACATTGCAGTAGAGACAAGTCAGGTGATCATAACCAATTCAGTGGGAAACTGATTATATGAGAAAAGTGAAAAGAAAAAATACAGTCTATTACATGGAATACAGAAAACAAGACAATGGAAAAAAAAAAAACACAAGAAAATGACAAAAGAAAAAAGAGAGAAAACTGTGTTTGTAAATCTATGTCGTGTGTGCCGTATTCATGAACAGCTGTATCATGATAATTGTTATGTTCAGTGTTGTTTTGTTTAAGTGTCTGTTTGTGACCTGCAGTCACACATTGTGCAGCTAGGGGCTGCATGTCCCTTTTCATTGTTGTCTACTTCTGTGAAGTCTGGGATGAACAAGTCAAACTGTTGGAAGTATTGCTGTTTTATATCTTTGTGTTTGTCACACTTTAAGATGAAGTGCATCTCTGCCTCCACCTCAGCTGTCATGCAGTGACCAGAGATTCTTTATGCTTGTTGGTAGATGTTTTTCTTCTCTGTGGCTACACTGTGGTCACTGAATCTGTCTCTGCTATCTCTGACAGTAAAGAGATATTCTGCCAATTTATATTATGGTTTTGGGCCAGCAAGCACTTGCAGCCAAACATATTGGGTTACACCACATATACACCATTCACTGATAGATCTTAAAAAAATAAGTCTCAGCAATCTTAAGCTATTATAAATGGGTATTTATCAGATCTTGTTCTCAAATCGTGCCCTGGCAATTTAAGTCCAAAAGGCAGTGAGGTTGTGTAAATGAGATTTGTTTCACCTGCTATGGAAAGAAGTCTATAATTTATATAAATACAAACATGTAGCAGCATTTTGTTCTGCGCTTCAGATCTCCAGTTGCCTCTGTTTTATACCGACTAACTTTAACCTGTGAACCACAGACGCTCAGGACTCTTCTGTCTGATGACAGCAGCTCGTTGGCTGCATGTAGGACCAGATCCACTGGAGCTATTAAGGATTCAGCCAGTGAGTATTAAACAGCAATAAGCTGCTTTATTTTCTGCAAAAAGCAGACATGACTTCCCTCTGATTGAGTGATCAGAATGGTATGTCTATGAAGAGTTGTTCCAGCTGACACCATTTGACATTTTACTGTCTGATCTTGTAAATTGTGATTCTACTTTCTTTGCAGCAGAGGAAAGATCAAAGATAGATGACAGAGGATGGACCACCTCTTTAAATTGATTGTAACAGGGTGAGTCAAGGCCTGCAATGACACCTTATATAGATGTACGTTTTAAGTCTTTAAACTAACTCGAGGCTTTTTCTGTCCCTGAAGAGAAGAACTCAGTCCTGCCATGTGGTCTGCTAGCTGAGGATCCAGCTTTCAGAAAGTGTGCGTATGACGTCAATTGCACCGTTTTTGTCATGTCAGACAACCAGCCACCATCTGTGCATTTATGTCATCTTCAAGTTTGTGTTATAAAAGGGTCTCCACATGAACAATCCATCCACCCATTATCTATATACCACTTAATCCTCACTAGGGTCGTGGGGGGCTGGAGCCTATCCCAACTGACTTAGGGTGAAGGCAGGGGACACCCTGGACAGGTCACCAGTCTATCACAGGGCTACACTTAGAGACAGACAACCAAGCACACTCACATTCACACCTACAGACAATTTAGAATCACCAATTAACCTCAACATGTTTTTGGACTGTGTGGGAGGAAGCTGGAGAACCCGGAGAGAACCCACGCTGCACAGAGAGAACATGCAAACTGCACACAGAAAGATCCTGGTGTCCTCACCTTGACGCGAACAGGCGACCTTCTTGCTGCGAGGCAACAATGCTAACCACCATTCCACCTTGCAGGCCTCCACATGAACTAATAATGCTGAATCTTTTTTTAATTTTTAATCTGTGACAAATTATATAGTGAAACTGAGGAACTTACATCATGTATCTGCAGTGCATCTTTTAAACATTTCTTTATATCGTCATTTTGCCATTGAACAAGAAGAATCAATTTGAACAGTCAATTTCAAACTGGGGTAACACTTCTTTTTGTCAAAATGAACATGTTTTTAATTTTGCTTTTGTAAAATCACAAATCAGTTGATGCTCTGTGGATCTCAACAAATCTGGACTTTTCCATGTCATACAATATCCATACAGTCGTCCTCAAATTTATTCATACCCTCCAGTTAAAGAAGGAAAACCACAGCTGTCACTGAAATAAGTTGAAATTAACAAAAGTAATAATAAATAAAAAAATTAATGAAAATCATGACATTGCTTTTGAATTGTGGTTCAGCAGAAATATATATATATATAAAAACAAACAAACAAGCATGATGGGACCCATAAACTAATATTTTGTTGAGCCAATCACTGCAATCAAGTGTTTTCTGTAACTCTCAATCAGACTTCTGCACATGTTGACAGATATTTTGATTTTGGCCCGCTGCTCATCAGCAAAGTGTCTAATTTGTCCGAGATGGTTTTGTTTTTTGAATTATTCTTTTCAACCAAAATTCAAAAACAATGTTTTATTTCACTAAATAATAATGTCGCAATTAGTTATTTAAGTGACTATTGTGAATTTTGCCTTTTCTTTCATGGACGGGTATGAATACATTTGAGCACGACTGTATGTGTCATCACTGTAGATAGTTTCAGGCTGTGAAAATCCAGCACTGCGATCTCTTGGTATCAATACATGAACATCAGCAGTCAATAATTTAGTTTCACATATTTATTGCAAAAACAAAATATATATATATCAGGTCACTGTTACAAGAAAAGTTAGATTTTTTATTTTTGTTTTAGTTCTGCTTGAGTTTAACTCTGCAGGTTGTCACACTGCTGTTGTCCCACATGTACAGAAGCTTTCTGTTAGGATAGTATGACAGCATTGCCAAGATGCCATTAGCTGGCCTCAAGTCAAAACTCGCATCCACAGGACTCTCTTTCTTCAAATCAAAAGCATACGTCACCCTTCTGTCGCTGTCGTCTGTAAAATACAAGACCCCACACACAATGAAAGCGTTTCCTGCTTTAGTTGTTGGGTAACCAGTGTCAACGACAGACTCCACAGAGAATGTGTCAGGGTCGAGCTTCGCAACCATCGTGTTGTCATCTGTGGTGGAAGCATAGATGACCCAAAGTCCATTTTCATCCACTGCAAACTTGAAGTACGTCTTTGAGTTGCGGAAAAGATAAGTCAGGCTCTTATATCTGCTGCCGGGCATCATCAGAGTCTTTATTCTCCTCGTGTTCAGGTCAAATCTATAAAATCAAAACATCGATCGTGAGCAAGGTTATAAGCTGAGAACAAAACTCACTTGAGATGTGAAGCTTCTCAACATGAGCACGTTAATAAAGTTCTAATTGTACACATATTTAACACTTACTTAATGAGTCTGTTTGTTCCTGCGTTGTGGAAGTAAAATGAGCTCTGATAAACAACATGACCACAGCCCTGGTAGAACCTCCTGATGTCGATAGTTTTATAGTTTGCCTCCTGAAAAGCTGAAATGTTCCTGGACTCTGCCAAAACTCGACCTGTTGGAGAAATGATTCAGCGTTAAATCCGAATCTCAAATAACTCACAAAACTCTGTCATGGAGGGAGGATTTCTGGTCACTGTATAAATCACCTGAGAAGTGTTCGGCCAGCCAGTATCGACCGTCATCCGGCTGAGATGCATCCGACATCCAGGCTCCAAAGGTGCTCTGCATTTTGGTCGACCTCTCCGAACATTTAATAGTTTTAATCTTACATTCTAAACGAACAGAGAATACTTTAGTGTTTAAATAAACTGTGTGGTATATTCAAATATAGACATACAAATAAACAACTTGGATAATCAGACATTTAATTTAACAAAAAATGTTCCCACCAGTTTTCATTTGCATGTCAGTGGTGGTCATGTTGATGTTATTGGACATCTGCAACGAGTCTGAAGAAAAAGGAGGAAGAAAAGGGCACATTTATATTTTTATTAAATGTAGAAAGAAAGCTGATTTTTATTCTCTTTGTAGTTGAAATAACAGATGATCAGGACTCAGTAGTGTTTGTGTAGAGAGGTTATAAATCAATATAGCAAACAGATTTCAGTTTAAATGAAATCGATATAACAGCATGTTAAAGATGATCAGTGGCCTTAGAGAGAAAAGAGGAATTCTTGAAAAGCAAAATCTTGACATGAGAAAGTCAGTACTGAAACCACATGTGTTACACATGGCAGATTCTCACCACTTTTCATGGGTTTATCAATAATGTTTCCACTGCTGTTGAGAGCGTTTCTCTTCTGATCCGGTTCTGCAGACAGTGAGGCTGTAAAATGAAAAGAAAAACATAAATACATTAGACACAAGTGATTCCAGCATAAGATACAAAAAACAAGTCATTTAATTCAGAACTCTGTGTTTCTTACTTGTTAATAATGTGATTGGTGCCTCTGTAGCATTCTGTCTTTTAGTAGCATTTGAGGTGTGATGGCTGTTGTCCTGATGAAATATTATTGACTCTAAAAAACAAAGTCGTCGATTTAACAACTTTTCTCCACATAGTCAAAGTTAAAATGGTCTTTATGGTCTTGTTGGTTTACCAGATTCCATTTTTGTGTCCAGTCGTTCCTTCGAGTCAGCAGCACTAAAATCGTCTCTGTTTTGTTCTGCATCCAGTGTGGCTGTAGAGTGAAATGACGCGTTGAACATTACAGTGCAGCACTTTCAATTTGGATATAAGCCACAGAAAGCGAGGAGGTTTCAAAGTTAATAATTCACTGCACAGGATTTCCTACCTGGAAATACTTTTGCTGGTCCCTCTGTGGCATTTTTATTGTCATTATTATTCAAGGTGTCATGGCTGCCGTGTTGATGAAATGTCACCAGCTCTAGAAAATGACAAAAGCATTGGATTTAATGTGTTTTTTTTCTTCACATTTTCAAAGTTTGACTTGTCTCCACAGTCTTGCTGGCTTACCAGGTTCAATGTTTGTGTCCAGATGTTTCTCAGAGCCAGCAACACTGTGAGCATCTCTGGTGTTTTCAGCTGGACGTGATGTTGGTGATTCTGCAGAGAAAGATAAGAGGTGG